ATTTTGTCTGTCATAGTTGACGTGGACCTATGATGAAAATTACAGGCCTCTCTCATCTTTTTAAGTGGGAGAACTTGCACAATTGGTGGCTCACTAAATAATTTTCCCCCACTGTATGGCCCCACTCTACACAGAGTAAAAAGTACACTGATCAAAGTGTTACATTTCTAGTGTTGATTTAACACTGAGGAGTGCAAAAAGTTAACACTGCACTACACTGGCCGGTGTTGATCAAATGTAACACTAAGAGGTAATCAACACTTTGAGTGTTATAGTGACACTCACTAGTGTTGATCTAGGGTGACTCCTATTAGAGTAAAAATGTGTTTACTCTATTCAGTGTTCATTTATTTAATCTTCCCCCATATAAATGCAAATTATATTTTGTAAAAGCACTTGGAATTTCACAATAAACTCAAGCAAAGCTGTTTCAACATTTAAATATGTTTATTATGACCAAACCATAAGTCTCAGCACTGGCTTAAACTGTTATCAAGTGACAGTACAATGTAGTCAAAAGAATCCCTTGCTCCATATGACATCAGCAAATCAATAGGTTTGTTGGAAAATGATGACATTTACATTAAAAACAAATATGTTTCTAACAACCTAACCATAAATCTCAGCCCTGACTTAAACTGTTATCAAGTGACAGTAGGGGACAATGTAGTCAAAAAAATCCCTTGCTCCATATGACATGAGCAAATCAAAAGGTTTGTGGTACATGATGTCATTTACATGAAATGCCTTGCATGGTGGACTTCGCTTCAAAACAACTTTAAATGCATACAAATGATCATCAAAACATAAGGTTTCAAGAGCTGACCCAACCAAAAAAACAATTTCCTCTTTCAGAACAATAGCCTTAATTTTGTAGAATACTGGCATTTCAATGACTACTTCACCACATATGACCAAATCAAGACGATATTCTGTACCATGGTGCTTTACCCATTTAACTGAAAAAACATTTGTGTGCACTGAGACATTCAACTTGGCAGCAATCTCCTGGCCTTCTTTCAGGTCATTGAGCCTTGACATCTTTCCTGGACCTTTAGCTAGTCTATCCTGGCTGAACATTTCCAAATTATATGACCATAGTGACATTCTTAAAACTCTTCAGTTGTTTTTAAAATAAATTATGTTTTGCCTCGTAGCGCATACACCACGAGTGAAGAATGGGCCCAATATTCCTTATACAACGAGGAAAATGTATCATGGGGTTGTCACGATCGTCTTCCAAAGGAGCAGACCAATACGCAGCGTGTTGAGCGAACATGATAGACTTTATTAATTAAAGTGCCAAAACCAAAACAATAGACGATTCGTAAAGTCCACAGTACAAATGACTGACAAGGAACAAAAACCCACAACACCCAAAGGAAAACATACAGATTAAATATGGCTCCCAATCAGAGACAACCAGCCCACAGCTGACACTCGTTGCCCCTGATTGGGAGTCATTATCTCAAACATAGAAATGAACCCAACAGAAATACCAACATAGAAATACACCCAATGAATAAACACACCCTGGCTCAATATACAGAGTCCCGGAGCCAGAGCGTGACAGTACCCCCCCCTAAAGGCGCGGACTGCGACCGCGCCTCAATAAGGGCCAAACAAGGGAGGGCTGGGTGGGCATACCTCCTCGGCGGTGGCTCTGGCTCCGGCCTTGATCCCCACCTCCTTTCCAACCCCCCAAAGTACCCCTGGTCCTGTCTAGCCCCGTTGGCCGGAGCCGGACTGACGACACGCGCCCCTGGCTTGGTGCGTGGAGGACGAACAGGCCTTACCAGGCTGACGACGCACACCGTAGGCCTGGCGCGTGGAGCAGGGACAGGCCGGACCGGGCTGACGAAGCGCACCCCTGACTTGGTGCGGAGAGCAGGAACGGGCCGGACAGGGCTGACGACGCACACCACTGGCTTGGTGCGGGAAGCTTGGATGGGCCGGACTGGGCTGGCGACGCGCACCACAGACTTGGTGCAGAGAGCAGGAACGGGCCGGACAGGGCTGACGAAACGCACCACAGACTTGGTGCGGGGAGCAGGAACGGGCCGGACAGGGCTGACGAAACGCACCACAGACTTGGTGCGGGGAGCAGGACTGGGCCGGACAGGGCTGACGACGCACACCGTAGACTTGGTGCGCGGAGCAGGAACAGGCCGGGCAGGGCTGTCGACGCACACCGTAGACTTGGTGCGTGGAGCAGGAACCGGCCGGGCAGGGCTGTCGACGCACACCGTAGACTTGGTGCGTGGAGCAGGAACAGGCCGGGCAGGGCTGTCGACGCACACCGTAGACTTGGTGCGTGGAGCAGGGACAGGCCGGACCGGGCTATGGAGACGGATAGGAGACCTGGAGTGAAGAGCTGCCACAACCCGTCCTGGCTGAATGCCTACCTTCACACACTCTGTGTGAGGCATCAGCACAGGACGTACAGGGCTGTGTACCCGTACTGGCATAACAGCACGTGACACTGGCGCAGGATATCCGGGACCGAGGAGAGGCACTGGAGGCCGCGAGCGCTGAGCCGGCACACTCCGTCCTGGCTGCATGCCCACCTTCGCACAACACGTGCGGGGTGCTCGCACAGGACGTACCGGACTATGCCGGACCACTCGCGGCACAGTGCGCATCTCCGCACTCCGCGGAACCTGCCCAGTCTCATGCTGCCATGCCTGAGTACGGGGAGTTGGCTCTGCTCTCCATCCCCTCCTATTATGCCCTGTGGCAGCCTCCTGCTGCCCAGTCGCCCATGCCGTGTGCCCCCCCCTAAAAAATCCTTGGGGGTGCCTCTCGTCCGTCCGACGATGGCACTGCTGACGCCGCTGCTCCTCTCCTGCCTGGGTCTCCCCCTTCATAGCCCTCCGGTACCGGACGGCCTCCTCCTCGGTGATCTGCCCCCAACCGAGGAGGACATCCACCAGAGTCACCTCCTGCGTGTGTTCCTGGACACGCTGCTTGGTCGTTGTATGGTGGGTTTTTCTGTCACGATCGTCTTCCAAAGGAGCAGACCAATACGCAGCGTGTTGAGCGAACATGATAGACTTTATTAATTAAAGTGCCAAAACCAAAACAATAGACGATTCGTAAAGTCCACAGTACAAATGACTGACAAGGAACAAAAACCCACAACACCCAAAGGAAAACATACAGATTAAATATGGCTCCCAATCAGAGACAACCAGCCCACAGCTGACACTCGTTGCCCCTGATTGGGAGTCATTATCTCAAACATAGAAATGAACCCAACAGAAATACCAACATAGAAATACACCCAATGAATAAACACACCCTGGCTCAATATACAGAGTCCCGGAGCCAGAGCGTGACAGGGGTGATGTTTCGGTAACAGATTTCTATCAGGAAACAAATACTTGAAAAGCCTATGATGTTCAGCAATGAAGTGCTTCAGATAGATAGTCATGCCCTCTGTTACTATAGGAGAAAACACAATATTGACAATTTGTAGTAGTAACAGAAGCAGCTGCCAGTATTTATCATCTTTCTGTACCAGATCACCAAATATCAATGGCAAATTACAGAGAAGACTAAGACTGAATAGCATTTAGACCCAAATCATTGCTCCCAACATCCAATTTGACTGCAGGTGGACGATTCCTCCTGTCTGTGTAGCCATAGTTAAATGAATGAACTCTACCGGACACATCTTTAGCAGTCACAAAGTTGGCTTGTGTGTATATACTGTAACACAAGTTTTACCTCCAAATTGTGCAACTCCTAAAATGTCATGCATCAACAGACATTTTTTCTGTAGTATTGAAGTACTGTAGAGAGCTCAATAAGCAAGTATGCTTCACACTGTACACATGAGGTAGTGTTGGGTTTGACTGAATAGTTTGACAATGGTCTGAGTGCATGTGTTTTGTTCGTAAAGTCACTCTTGTGTCATCCTTAGAGAACACAGTTTGAAAATCGACTTCCTCAGTGAGGCACAAACAGCAAAAATAACGAGCACTAAATGATTCCCCAAAACCAAACAGGCAATGTATACCAAGATTATCTCCAGTTACTTGGACAATACTGCCATGTATACGACCACTGAAGAAGGGAACTTCAATACCCTCAGTCTCAAGCGCTTTCAAATCGCTTACTATTGGCTCAAGAATGGAATAAAATCCATACATTTTAAGGTCCTGGGTATGGAAGAGTGCACATAAGTGAATATTTACCTAAATTGAATTAAACTTTTTTTGATCCCAAAGGATTAGCTGTTTCAAGGTTGTCATAAAAGAGTTGAATTTGCAATGCAATTTTCTCTTTAGAAAAGAGAGGATGTCTCTTCATATATAGTCCATCTTCCAAATCAAAGTAAACTCCATCTTTAAAATTGTGACCTGAGTTAAATATGCCACTCGCGTTTGGGTTCTTCAAAATTGACTGCAATGTCTTGAGAATTGGAACATAAGAAAATGTATCAGTTATGACTATTTGATCATAAGTTCCAGTTGTTTTGTTTTGTTCTATTGTCAAATCAAACACCCAGGACTTTCTCAACTGGTTGAACTGTTCCCCATTTTTGTATGAAATAAGCACTTCGTTTTGATACCGAATTCAACAATGTGAAAGGATTTACAGTCGTCTGACCTACACCTGCAGCTTGCAGTTGTGCAATAGCAGATGCACACATATCAAGTGTGTTCTTGTTAGATATTGGTACAACATGGTTACAACTAGAATTTGAAGGAAAATCAGCATTACTTGGCTGAGTATCAACCGCTGTATTAGGATCCAAGTTAACGTTTAACAAAATTTGACAGTCTCCGGAATGTGCCCTGTTCAAAATCAGAATCTCCACAAGCAGCATTGGTCCCCAGTCAGCTAAATATCAGGAGTGATCTTTGAAGCAGTATCATGCCCATCGAGTTTGATACAAGATAGTAATGCTCAACAATTTTCATTATGAATTTTTCCTTTTAAACTTACTCATGAGTCTCTGTCATCGCCGAAACAAAAATGTTGATCATCTTTCATCTGGTCCAGAAGGTCAGGCTTTTAGTTTTGGAGTATTTCCTGATGACAACCTCTCCACCAGGCTTTTTATTCAGTATGCTCTCTATTAGCTGTAAAAAACAGCAGTGAAAAATCCATTTGATGGCAAGTGAATTGAAGAATGAATTAGAAACGTACATTTTTTGCTTCGTCATCAGATCTTTGACGCTTTCGTGAGGGGCTTCCATCATCGCTCAAAATGATTGTATCATCCGACTCATGGTCTGAACCACCCATCACAGAACTGGTTGAGACTGGACTCATCAGGGAAGATTCGGAAATACACAAAGATGACAATACAGGCATGTCAAATGTGTGGTTATATTGAAAGTGATGCCACAAGTAACCAAGACTTGAAAACCAGCACATACCTTTAGCATCATTGTTCAGTGTGAGCTTGAAAACGCCAAGATCTGGCCGTTTCACCACCTCCTCAAACACATCCCCATCAACTTCAGTTCCATACAGCTTTGCCTCTGATAAACTAGTAATTGGGATCTCAAATTCCAGGAAAGCTGTGACAAACATTAAAACAACAACCTACAATTAAAATTGCAATTGTAATGGTAAGAGTAATCAGACTGACTTGTAAATGTATGAAAACAATACTTTTATTTCCAATCACAAATTAAAAGTTTACCTCCAATCAAAAGGTTTTAAAGTGTCAGGTCAATGATCTTGACATATTTTTTGTTCACCATTGAATTTCACCCTAATCAGCATGACTAGGTCTGAAAGCAGTTAAAGGTGAGAGTATACATTTGTATTTCAATCAGACACATAAGGATGACTACAAACGTTTTCAACAATACTCCTTTACTTAGCAACGCTAATTTCAAAGTATATTATGAAATTATTGGATCATGACCACAACTTGTCTGATATTACTTGAAGCAGGTCCCAAACTACAGCAAACATACTATTCAACTCACATTCACTGTCCTGAAATATGGAGACGGCCTAATTAGTCCAGTAAAATACACTCATAATTCCAGCTAGTCACTATATTATGTTGTCATGTTCTAGGAGCAGTCTTACAAGACCGCCAAAATGAACTGGTGATAAAGCGAGTGGGAAAAGCAGTTAGCTAGACTAGCTAGCTGCCGATGCAATTGCCACAATATTATCTAAAAGCATCACCCACAAGTCAAACATTGTTATAATTTGGCCAAATATACAACTCACCTTAAACAGATTAGTCCTCAATATATATATAGTAAGCAGCTGAAATAAAGAGAACAAAATAGCATGAGGCTAAAAAAGCTTGGTGCTGAAATGAGACGCGCCAACAATGGCGTCGAGAAAATAGGAAATCTGAACGCAGAAACTGAATTTATGGGCGGGGTTGTGATGATGTTTACACTTACTGAGTAAAAGTCTACACTAATAGAGTAAAATGTTATACCTTACCAATTAACACCAGTTATCAGCGCTGACGCTAGGGGTCATTTGGCACTGCCAGTTGCTAAAACAACTCTATGGGAGTCGATCAATTTTGACACTGTGAATTTAACACTGGTGATTTTACTGTGTACTAATCTCATAATGCATTTATAAGTCATATTATTCAAAACTCAATGGGTACCGTATATTGTTGAAATTACCACTGAACACTAACAGCAGACAGAAGTCTCTGTCACACTTGCATCTATCTATCCAACCGATATGTCTGTATTACTATGCGGATTCCCTATGATTTTTATTGATAATACATTACTTTCAAAAAGCTATAGACTCTCCTCATGGCTATGCAAGTGTACTGTATATGTTTTCCATTACCAAATTCCATAACACAGCCCCACTAGATGATAATCATAACCAAACTGGGTTCCACTGTCAGACAGATACATTGTAATCAGTCATGTAGTGGTAAAAAAAAAAGGGTGTGAGTAAGCTCTGTTACCAGTCGCTCCCTATACTTTCAATGCATTTTCCCGCTGAAGATGGGTAAACTGTCGCGCAAAATGAAAAAGGTGGACAAATCGCATTTTACTTGCTTTAACGCTCTACGCCACTGATTGTAAATCCTTATGGTGGGACTCACATGGTGCTATCCAGTGTAATTTATCTTGCAAATATGCATGCATTCATTGCTTACATCCGCTATGAAAGGCTCATTGTCCACCCTCCCACCCAAAAGCCTGGAAGGGATGAGAGAGCCAAGCCTATGGGTTCGTAGCTTCAACCCCGCAGCACACACACACACTTACACACACCAACTGAGTAATGGACTGCTGAATGTATATTTTTTTATTTTGCTTTGTTTGCTCTTTTCCATATTATGTATATCTCTGATCAGCAGCCCAGGAAAGGGCTGAAAATAGCCCATATTAATGTATGTAGCCTTAGAAATAAGGTTAATGAAATCAATAACTTGCTAGCATCAGATAACATTAATATATTAGCCATTTCTGAGACTCACTTAGATCATTAATTTGATTATACAGCAGTAGCAATACAAGGCTATAACATCTATAGAAGAGACAGGAATGCTTATGGGGGAGGTGTTGCTGTATATCAGTGCTTCTCAATTATTTTCTGTTACGCCCCCCCCCCCCCCCCCCCCCCCCTAGGAAGAAGTAAACATTTCGCGCCCCCCAACTCTCCGCCGCGACTGTAAATAGTATAATTTGTCTATAAAATTGTTATAAGTAAACCTCTGCATAACATTGTATCCTTATTAACATTAAAGAAAAGAAAAAAAGAAAAAACAAATAAATATAGATCAACTTACAACAAAGAATAACTTTATTAACATTGTTTTTTAGTCTGTAACAGAAAATACTTAAAGTGCATCAATTTGCCTGAATTTTTTTTTTTATTAAAACCTTATTTAAATGGTAAACATTTTTTGACCATTTGATACTGAAAAATACAATTAAATATAATCAATAAATAATAATAAATTCAAATTGATCAGCAACATTAACTTAGGAATACAATATATGAAACACTTTGACCTATAAAACAAAAATGAATAAAACAATATGTGCTGATTTTTTTTTATCAAAATGAGGAAGTCAGGATTAATGGCTACAATGAGCATGTTTTGCAGTGCACAGCTTTTCGAAGCCGGGTTTTGAAGCATGATACTGCAACTCTCAGCTCCTGCTCAATGTTTAGCTGGGACCTGTACTTGGTCTTCAGTGCAGCAACAGCAGAGAAGCCAGTCTCACAAATATAAGATGTTGCAAAAGGAAGAAGAATGCCCATGGCCCTCTGCCCTAAGAGTGGGTACTGCCTCTCTACACTCGGCCAGAATTCACTCAGTGTTTGTGATGTGAACCTCAGTCTCAATGTGGAGTCAGACGTCATATCAATGAACTGGTCCTCCTCTGCAGAGATGAAACCAGTTGGAGCTGGTGCATTGAAAGGATCTCTCACCCAGTCATATTGGGAACTGTTTTCAGGGAAGTACTTTTTAAAGAATCCCATCAGTGATGAAATATGCTCCTTAATATATGGAATCACTGAGGTGGCATCATAGTCAGTAGTGTCAACAAATTCATGCAGGTTCTCGAATGAATCAGTATTTCCTTCATCAAGTCGCCTGCCCCACATTGCAAACTTTCGAGTGAAAGAGCTGATCTTGTCTGTGACCTGAGGGAGGTGTTTATCTTTCCCTTGAAGCTGTAGATTTAGTTCATTTAGCTTTCCAAATATGTCACTCAGGTAGGCCAGTTTTGCCAGGAAGTTCTCATCACTAAATTTTTCTGCGAGGTCATACTTGTGCTCCTGCTCCGAAAACATTCTTATCTGCTCTCTGAGCTCAAAAACTCGGGACAAGACTTTTCCTCGTGACAGCCACCTTGCTTCACTGTGAAACAGCACAGCTTGATGTTCAGCTCCCATCTCCTCACAGATAGCAGAGAAGACTCTTGTTTTTAGTGGTCTGGTCTTTATAAAATTGACTACACCTACAATGTCAGTCATAAGCTCACTTAATTCAGAGGAAAGGTGCCTTGATGCCAGTGCTTCTCTGTGTATAACACAGTGTGTCCAGTCAGCATTAGGTGAGGCCTTCTTAATGAGTGCCCGAAGTCCTTTTCTCATCCCTGCCATGGTCTGTGCACCATCACTGCAAACACCAATGCAGTTCTCCCACTTTAGCCCATTCTCAGTCAGGAAGCAGTCCAGCATTTTGAATATCTCTTCAGCTGTGGCTCTGTCTCTGACATATTTACAAAAAATTGTCATGTCAAAACGTACATAAGCGATAAACAAACTGTCTTTGTTGCTGTCAGTTGCTTCATCGAACTGTAAGTGAAACGTTTGTCTTTGAGTTTATCTACCAGCTGTTCTTTAAGATCGTTAGCAATGTCATTTATACGTCTGGCGACGGTGTCATTGGACAGAGGGATAGTTTTTATTTTTGCAGCACATCCAGCATGACAGAGACCATGTCTAATGCTGCAGGCAGTATCAGCTCCTCTGCTATGGAGTGTTTTTTTGATGCACTGAGCAATTTGGTACGCCACCTTATATGATGCTAACAGTGCTCGCTGGTTTACTGAAGTAGCATTCACAAAGCGGGACGATTGTTGGCAATATTCTGCACGTTTTCGCTGAAAAAACTCAAGCGGCTTATCAGCGTGATTGGGGTGTAATGTCTTTAAGTGACGCCTTAATTTATTTGGCTTCATGCTGTCCGCTGCCAACATTTGTAGAAACAGTAAACATACCGGTCTTTCCTCGTCTCCCACCGTAGTCACAGTGAAGCCAAGCGCTACATACGCTTCGTCATATTTGCACACATATATAAAAAACATGTTCCCCGGGGGGGCGCGCCCCACTATTTGAGAAGGACTGCTGTATATATTCAGAGCCATATCCCTGTAATGCTTAGAGAAGATCTTATGTCAAGTGTTATTGAACAGAGAGGTCTACTTTCTTGGGGACCTGAATATTGACTGGTTTTCATCAAGCTGTCTGCTCAAGAGGAAGCTTCTCACTGTAACCAGTGCCTGTAATCTGGTACAGGTTATTAATCAACCTACCAGGGTGTTTACAAACACTACAGGAACAAGATCATCCACATGTATTGATCACATTTTTACTAATACTGTAGGACTTTGTTCTAAAGCTGTATCCGTACCCATTGGATGCATTGATCACAATATAGTGGCTATATCCAGGAAAACCAAAGTTCCAAAAACTGGGCTAAAATAGTGTATAAGAGATCATACAAAATACTTTGCTGTGACTCTTATGTGGATGATGTAAAAAATATTTGTTGGTCTGATGTGATTAAGAAGGAGCATCCAGATGCTGCACTTGATGAATTTATGAAATTGCTTCTTTCAATTATTGATAAACATGCACCTGTTAAGAAACTGACTATTAGAACTGTTAAGGCTCCATGGATTGATGAGGAATTGTAAAACTGTATGGTTGAAAGAGATGGGGCGAAAGGAGTGGCTAAGAAGTCTGGCTGCACATCTGACTGTCTGACTTACTGCACATTGAGAAATTATGCAACTAAACTCAACAAAAAGAAGAAGAAACTGTATTAT